GATATCAGTTGTGAAAATGAAACAGAAAAAGGGAGAAAAGAAAAGAGGAAATGGAAAGACGTACCAAGCTCTATTAGGATTTACTTGTAGATGATATTGAGAGTATTTTAAAGGCTACAAACACCCAAGGTAAGTATCACACTCATTAATCTTTCTATTTCTTTCACATTTATGAGTTTATAGTTAGGCTTTAATTGTGAAAGATGATTTTTAATTCATATAGGTTATGGTTCTGAATTTATTAACTCAAATGGAGTTAATGGGAGTATATTAGAGTATTTAAACCTAGTATAATGAATTTTTGGTGTCTTGGGTTGTTGGACACCATTAATATCTAAAATTTGTAATTAATATGGGTGGTTGGAAAAGTGTGATGCCATTAATAAAAATTTAATGGTTCATTAATGTTATTAGAGATTAAAGGTAACTAATAAATCCAATTCATAGGCTTAAACTCATATGGAGTGGACATTGAGCAATTTAGAAGTAGAGAATGAGGGTTTAATGTTTGAGTTGATAATGTTGATGAAATTTCAACCTGGTTGATTATAGTTTTGGCTCTTGGACATCTATCTTGACTTAGAAATTCAAGCTTGGAAGCTATAACATTAAGGGGTAAACTTTTGACATCCCAAAGGTTTGATGTAATCGAAAAACCCTACTTTAAGTAGTCATATGTTAATTAGTTGTTAAATGTGAATTGTGAATGTTACATATATGAGATTGATTTTCAATGTGAAACCTCATATTAGTTTCAATAAGTGTATGAAAATTTGAATGTGTATAATGCTATTTTTGGCTTGAAATGCAAAATGTGAAGTTAAAAGAGTTTTTGAACTATGAACATACTTATGCTTTTGAAAAATGAATGTGATGTTGTGTAGAGGTAATTATGTATTAATAAGAAGTGAATTTTGAGATAAGTGAAAATAATGTTGAGAAAATGATGAGAATACATACTTAAGTAGCACACGGTCGTGAACCTAATGTAATTGTTGTGATAATGAGTAAATAAAAATGCAAATGTGAAAACGAATGAGTATTGATTATGGCATGATCAGTGGCAAGAGTTTTCCTAGGGATTGGGAGTAGAGAAAAAATTCATATGATATTTAGGTTGCCCTCCAGTGCATGGGGGTATAACTGTGTCTCACCATTTGTCGAGGGACTAAAACTTAGCTATTTCCACCAGTTCAATGAGGAGAATAGTTTAGGATATGAGACACCCTAAGGATTCAAGAATGGGGGAAGACGTGGTTCAAGAGTGAGTCATGTGATTTTTGACTAGGTTACACCTCACGATTAATGAGCTTGGTAATCCAGTCACATGGGTGGAGCCCTAATCAGTGTTATAGTCCACAGTTTTGATCTGAGAAAATAAGGAGGGTATAAGGTTAGTTGATCATTGTAAATAAATATATGACATGTCATACGTGTTAAGTTGTGGCAATCGTGTAAATAATGGATCATGGTCACATATATAAAAATATGGCGGTAATGCACCTAGTATGTATGAGATAAAATATATGAGATAAAGATATTGTTAAATGAGAAATGACAAGTTATGATATGTGTGAGTATGTTTTACATACTTGGTTCCTTTGCATATACTTGGTTTATGATCGATATATAACTGCATAGGGTAAGTTCTATCTTGGTTACTGAGTAGCTAGACTCACCTCTTCTATTTAACACTTTTCATGCTCTACCTCTGGCGTTGAGAAGGAGAAGATTCAGGAGGCTAGGAATTAACATATTTCTACTGTAGGCCTCTGGTTTAGATTCATTTTATGTAATAGTATATGATTTGTCAATTTTAGATTACATGCCATCACACTTGCACTATTTTATGGTTAAAAATGTTTGATTTATATTTTGGTCCCTGAGTATTTGGGTATGTTGATATATATATATATATATATATATAAGGCCAAAATACTACTGCACATGTAGAAATGAAGATTTGAACATGTTTTGAATAATTTGGGTGAAATGCAATGACAATTTGCCTCCCCCTCTATTTTTGATAAAAAGGGGTTAAGGAGTAAATTTCTATTATAATGTGGTTTAAGTGTGTATGACATGCTGTACTGGTTGTTCTAAGTCTAATGGACATAGTTTAGGTATTAAGAAAGGTTTTTGGCATATATTGAGGGTTTTGAACACCAATTTTGAGTGAAAGTTGTGAAAAGTGGTTAAAATACATTTGGGTGTCTAACTTCCTGGTGTGACTTGTTTTTGAAGTGAAATTCATGCCATTAGCTAGTTCATATAAAGAGCTTTTTATTGATACCTATATCACGTCATTCAGACGTCAGACTGAGAATTAGGGTGCGTCAAAAGTTCTCCAATTTTGCTAAATTTTAGTGTAACACGTTACAGTGCATGCCGCCTGAGCCACGGCGCGTGGTATAAAGATTAACACACCACGGCATAGCGTGCACAAGCCGCGGTGCATTATCCTGTATCACAACACAAGTTTTATTTTTCAACTATTTTTGAATTCTTTCACTCCTCTGAGGTATTTCACGCTTCTAAAACTTATTTTTACTCTGATATAGAGGATTTTGTTTGATATAAACTCATTTTATTTAGAAAACTTGGGATCCCTTGAATTTGAATTAAAACTTGATAATCACCTTTTTGAGTTAAGTCTTTAATTACCATGAGCTATATTAATTACTTGTGTTTAGTGGAGTGAGACATGACATGCAAGAACGCACAAAAATGACTTTACATTGAGGCTTGAGATTTTTATTTTATTTGAGGGCAATTTGATCATTTCTTTTAATTATTTAATGATAAAAATATTCCATAGGACTTTAGAAAAATTATGTTATTTTGTAGGATTAATATATCATTTTCATAATTTAAATAAATTTTTTTGTCATTTTCTCTCTACTTTACTCATTGTTCAGAAATTGCCCTTTCATTAAGGGATCAATCTCAGGTGTTGTAAACTTGCAATTGCAGTTGAGGATGGTCCTAGACAAAAAAACTTTTACGCCCACTGTCACTAATCAGTAATCACAACCCCCCAGCCATTAATTGAGAAATGCATTTATTTGTTAAGCGGGTTGTTAATTTGTGTGGTACATGAATGAATAGACCTCAAGCCAAATTAACAATAGTCTGTTACAATTACAAGGGGAAAATATTACATAATTATATATTGTGAAATATTTAGAGGTTATAAGAAATTAAGAACTCCAATAAAAAAAATAAAAAAAGTAATATCATTGAATATGTGATGAAATCTTAAAAGATTATTTTTCAAAGATTAAGCTTATGGAAAAATTCTTGCATAGATTTGTGCACCACATCATTCATATTCCATCCAATAAAATTTTATGTGTTATTATTTTTAGAATAAAATACCTATTTAATTTATTGTTTTTTATCTCTTTACTATCATTAATAATATAATTAATTTATATTTAAAGAAATTTAAATAGGATGTTTTTATTATATAGAATATAGATGATATGATATATTGAGTCCACACGTAAAAATTTATGCATACTTGTCTGCATATCCTTAATTAATATGAATTCGTGCAGTCCTGCACAAAACTTAGGTGAACTATAATATTTAATATTTCATAAATAATATTTATTTTATAATTTTTTTTCAATTTTACCCTTTCAAACATTTTAATTAGTAGAAAACAAAAAATTACATGAGAGAGAAAATAACTTTAAAGATAATACATTTATTAAGGATAAGTTGAGAAATTTTGTTCATTTAATTTGGAGAAAATATCAATAATCTAACTACCTTTCCTTTCCACGAATTTGGTGTAGTTAAAGGCTACGTATAAAAATGACTGGAAGGAGCATGTATTGACGCATTGATAAGTATAAGGGAGAATTGTATTGTAGGACTTGAAAACACACAAAAAATGATACTTTGATCGCAATATATTTTGATATTTTACTGTAAATTTAAAAGCTCTTGTTGTAATTTTTTTTAAAAACGTGTTCATGGTTGAACAGCTTGACGCTTTGATTATTCAATCTAACTAGCCTCGTAATCTATTTGAACGACGTTTCATATTCAGTTCAAACAAAATGAAAGTACAATTTTGCCCTTGTATGATTTGAAAACTCAACCTATGCAAAACCTTCATACATAATGCACAATACGATATTCATAAATTCTTAACACAATATCCATGTGTGTTCAGTTGATCTGTATGTTAAAATATACAAGTCACATAAAGCATGTACAACACAAGGTCCATGAATGCACAACACAATGTTCATGAATTCTTACCACAATATACATACATGTCTAGTTGATTTATAAATTGATTAAAATATCCAAGTCACGCAAAACATGCATAACACAATATTCATAAATGCACAATATGATATTCATAAATTCTTAACATGATGTCTGTAGGTGTCTAGTTGATCTACAGGTTAATTAAAATATATAAGTCACACAAAGCATATCCAATACAATGTCTTTAGGTACACAACACGATGTTCATCGATTTTTAACATAACGTTCTTGAATTCTCAGTATAATGTCCACGCGTGTCCACACATGGACATTCAATTGAAAATACATGAATATCGTATTGTACATTCATGGATATGGTGTTGTATATTGTCTATGTCATTTGTAAATTTTATTAAACCTATTGATCAATTAAACACATATGCATATTGTGTTGAGAATTTATGAACATTGTAACGTGTATTCATAGATATTGTGTTATATATGATCTGAATTTTTAAATCACACAAGAGCAAAATTGTACTTTCTCTTTTAAAAAAATTATAACAAGGACTTTGTACTTATAATGTAATATCAGAATGTATTAAACCTGTAGCGCAATTTGTTTTTGTTTTCAAAGCCCTTAATACGATTCTCCCTCAGTATAACACTACTAAATAAAATGATGAAAAAAATTCTGTTATAAATATATAAACCTTCACTCGAAGTCGAAGAAATAAATCAAATAAACCGCAGCCTCCATTTCAAGGATTTCCCAAATCCATCGCTTTCGGTGTTATGTCATTTTCAAGTACTCTCGCAATCGTTGTTTGAGGTGTGTCAAGCGAGGCAGAGAAATCTCACTCGTCTTCCAATCTTCTTGGTGCAAGTGAAAGATTTTTCTTAACGTTTCATTGGCTTAGAAAACCGGTCTCCTCTTTGAATCTTCCCGCATCCCATTCCCCTGTTTTTTTTTTTTTTTTCTTGGCACTCGCTCGCTGAGATATATAGCACTATTACTATGTACTGGATATTGCTTTCCTGGTTTTATTTCCCCTAGCGTGCGTTGTATTGCTTACCAAAATACATCTTAAAATGATAAAACATCTAAACACATTGTTCGAATTTCCTATGATTACCGAATTAGCTTATGCAGATGCTTTTGTTTATGAAATTTGGATAACTTGACAGTGGAGACTGTGCGTAGGTTGGATAGTTCTCGTGGAATATTTGCTGGAGTCTGGACGATATGTTTTCAAGATGTTGAGTCTCCTAACAATCGAAATGGTGTTTGGTTAGATCAATGAGATGGGTATTCTGCTGTCCTTTAATCATTATTTAAAAAAAAAGTTCAAAGAGATTATTGTGAAATAGCATTTCTTGTTTCTTTGATTAAGTTTGGATATCGTGGAATATTTGCTGGAAGATGATACTATATTTTCTGGATTTTCTTACAATCAGAATGCTACTTTGGTTATCTTGGAATAATTCTATTTCTACTTGCTTATCTTTTTTCCTTTTTGTAGCTATATTTGCAGTTTGAAGGAACTTGTCTTTCTGTTTGCCTTTAGAGACGTGGAGAGTTGTGGGAAGTAGTTATTGAATATGCTTCAAATTCGGCTTAGCAAGCTACCAGCCTCAGAAGGTTCCGCAGGGGTGAGGTCCGCACCTGTTGAGACTGCAATTGCATGTCCCGACCATCTCGTCCTGGCTGACCTGCCTGTAGCAGAGGGTATTGGTGCAGCCACTGCCACTTCCCTTATTAAGACTTTAGGATGGAGGTCCCGCCGTCAGCTTGGCAAGAGAGTTCATCTCTGTGTTCGTTGTGATTTCCCCATAGCTATATATGGACGATTGGTAAGTACTTTAACATTTTCACCCCTGTTTTGATGTTTTTAATTTTATTGAGCTTTTTGCTTCATAGAATCTTTATGATCATTGATAAAATCGGCACTTAACATGGTTGCCTTTCAACTCTCTTCAGGCCTAGTTTTGTTCTTTGGCCTGCTCTCAGACTCCATCTTCTCTAAAAAATTAATGGGAGCAAATGGAATTCTAAAAATAGAGCATTCTAGCTTAATAGTTATTTGAAACTGTCTTCATTCTCTCTATTAATGTGCAGCTGAATCACAGGAAAGACTGAGGTGGTATGAGATGTGTTATGCTTATATCCGTAACTACAAAGAATCTCATTCTTACTCACACCAAATTCTCTAGCGTCAACAATGCATAAAGTGTACTCCCTCCGGTCCACTTGATTGATCACCTTCTAGAAAGGTGAAGTGGTCCACTTTATAAGTCTTATATTGATAGTGATATTTTGTTGTAAATGAAATATTTAAACTGCCCTAAAAAAGTAAGAGAGAGAGAAACAAAAAAAAAATTATATAGTTTTACTTTTTGAGGGTTATATTGTAATTTTACTAAATTTTATTCTTTATATTTTTGTTGTGTTGGTATTAATGAGATTGGTAAAAATAACTTATAAATAGAACTAGAGAGAGTATGATAAATTGACCTGTCATTTGAACAACTATATGAAGTGTATGTCTGATGTTAACAGTTGATTGATGCATGATTGAAAATGGGGACAGGAGTGTCATGAATGGGATATCTATAAACTACTAGAATCCTGTGCTTGTTTGGGCCCGCCACTTCTGTTTCATGTACATGTTTTATAACTAAAACATTCAAGTGAACATTTCACATTGTTTCTTTTTCCTGCTCTTCATTCTGTGTTGAGTTTTCTATGATAGAGTATGGTTGGTTCACTTTTAATGCATTCCTGTGCCAATCTATTTGGTGTATTTTTAATCTAGATAATCATATGGCTATGTGATATTACACTTATGACCTACCAGTTTTACACTTTGAATGGCATTGGGACATCTGTAGCTCTGAAATACATTTGTTTTGTGTTTTAGTTTTTGTGTGTAGCTCTGAATCTGATATGCACCTCATCAATGGTATTATTGTATCCATGATTAATGTTCAGCTTCACTTTCTTTGTTTGGGGTGTTTTGCAGGGAGGGTAAATGGGATGAATGTATGCTTCTTACATTATTTGACGTTGGCTTGCTACAACTGACATCTTGTGGCTTTGCAGAGCCTTGTGAGCATGCCTTCTGCTTTGATTGTGCTAGAAGTGATTTAATGTGCTGCCTGTAAGAATATTTCTTATCTCCTGATCTTCATATAGGAAAGTAATGGACACCGGGTTTTTTGTTTAGGAAGATTTTAGTTTCGAGCTCAACTCAGATAGTCTTCCAAAGTCTTCCGCATGTACAACAGCTTTGGCTTTCGAGTCCTAATTCGAATGCCTTTGATTTCAGGATGAAATTTTACTATTAAGCTGTATGGTTCAATGGGCTGCATAAATGCAAAAGGGGGTCTGGATTCTATTACCTGTTATACTAATCTTTGATTTGATATTATATCCATGAATTTGATGTGGTTTTTAAGTATTTATCCAATTTAATTTCATAATAGTACATTCTTAAAAACTTTTACATGTCATTTTGCAACAATGTGGCTTGGAATGTTAAAATATAGTGGACAAGGATTATATTTTGTTTATTCATTTTTTATCGGCAATTTGCTTTGAGGTCCGTGAGATATATCTATCACAGTTTAATAAATAGAACGACTTTTTCCTCCTTGGAGCAGTTGTGATGAACGAATCCAGAAGATTCAGGCCATCAAAATGATGGAAGGAATTTTTGTTTGCGCTGCTCCTCATTGTCTCAAGTCTTTCTTGAAGAAGACTGAATTTGAATCTCACATTCAAGACAACCATTCTGATCTTCTTCAGCCCAATGCAGATAGAGAAGAAGGAAATGAGTCAGAGGCACAGAGTGTTAGGCAATCAACAGCATCAGACACCGCTGTTCAAGGTTCCCAGAGGCCAGTTTTTTCTCCTGGTTCAAAGTCGCAGCTTCATCATTGGAAAGACAAAAGTCGTCAACAGCCAATGAGATAGCAATCCCCTTCAAGGCCAATTCAACAGCCAAAGCCACCTTTTTTTTGATCAAGCACTGAATCCTTCTTCAGATCCCCAATCATCAGGCAACCCTGAAGCTATTTCAACAGGACTTCCATCCACAGAGTTTTGACATGCGGCACCACCGACGTGAACCCTCCCATCTCGTTGAGAGAGAGCAAGGAGTTAATCCAATTCCTGATTATCAATCCTTGCATTGTGTCAAGCCACCCAATGTTGCCATGCAAGCTAACCTAATGCATTGCCGAAACCTCCCATAGCATTTAGTATCCACCTTAACCACATGAGGGAGCTCAGCCCCTTTTATTCTACATCCTATGACATGCCTAGGCAGAACTCATCTTCTGAAATAGGTTTAAATCAGGGTTCATTACTGGGATACCCACCAGGTCCTGTCAGTGGCCCAAACTTTCCAGCAAATTATCTTCAGGTCTGGAACGCAAGAATTACTGTTGTGCCTTTTGATCAAGCTCAGGGTGGCATGATTATTGATCCAAGGGATGCTAAAGGGAGATAGGCGTGACGGTCAATGCCCCACAGGATCTCGTTTGTGGCCTCTGAAATAGAAGTACTTTACTTTACATGTTTGATGGGCTTGGACTTCATTGAACGTGGTTTTGGGTAGCAGCGTGAAACTCTGATGTGCATGGACAACCACAATACGATTAACAAGGGTCCCAATCATCAGTTGCCTGTATTACGGTATCTTCTCATAGAAAGTGCAGACTTCAGGGTGATTCCTGTTTTAGTGTTTTAGACTTGAAAGGGTAATATTTTGAGCTGTCCGATATAAATTTCAGTTGTCTTTGTATAGTTTCTTACTCATTGAATTTTTAAGTCCTTCAATAGGCGTCCGGTGACTAAAATTTTTTCCCTCAAAATATGGAGAAGTAATTGAGAACGGTTTGGCATCGACTCTATGTTCTAGTTGCTATGGCTTCTTGTTTTAGGATTCTTTCAGGGTTTCGGTGATTTGATATCGCCCGTCATGATATTTATCTATGAATTTTACTCATATTTCGTGAAGTATTGGAACAGTATAAAGCCTCATTGCAAATTGGCAAAACAAGACCACCTGTCCATCACAACAAAATCATCTGCATTAGTTGGCTACAAACATTTTCCAGAATATGACAAACACAGACCCTTGGAACTTGGACGAACAAACTAATTCTTTGACGAGTAATATTGTCAGGCGAGAAAATGGGGAGAAGGTTCAGTGGGTGGAGGAAAGCAAGAAGAGAATCCTGGTGCACCTGGAAAGTGTTACTTTGAAAACTGAATCCCTGAAAAACGATGAGAAGTTGATGCAGTGATGATAATATAAATGTAAACAAGTGAAATTTAAAAAACAAAAAAACAAAAAACCGACGCGGCGTTAACGAATTTCACATTCGTATACTTTATGTAGTTAATACATAGTTATACTTTGTTTAAGAACACACGTATAATTTGTATTTTTTTTATTTGATATTACCACATAAATTAATTTAAATATTGAAATTGATGTACATTTTATGATTTAAGAATGCTATATAAATAAATTTTCTCATGCATTAAATGAAGTTTAAGATGAATTGTATCAACTCGTAACTTATTATTTAATTTACTATAAATTTATATTTGAAAAAATTACAACAAAATCCCTTTGAATTATATAAATAATTTTCGTCTCTTAAATTGTTATAATTCCATTAAAGTCTTTAAGAACTTTTATGTCAATAAATTTTAAATTAAAAAGATCATTTAATAAGCTCCAATCACAACATTTACTTGAAAAATAACAACTTTTATTTTATGAATAATAAGAGTTGAATAAAAAATAACTTGTCAAATATAATTTCTGTTATTAAAAAACAAATATCAATCACAACATTTACTTGAAGAATAACAACTTTCGTTCTGTGAATCGCAAGAATTGAATAAGAAATCACAACTTGTCAAGTATAATTTTTATTATTAAATAATAAGTTCTCAAAATAGCAAACCTTACTCACAACTTTTGTTCATAAAAATTGAATAAAAAATCATAATTTGTGAATTAGGATAACATAATCTTTTCATTTTAAAAATTATGAACACAAAAGCCTCTAAAAATTTCAATGAAATTATAATATTTTGAGAAATTATATCATCATTTATATAATTCAGGAAATTTTATTGCCATTCTCCCATTATATTTTAAATCTTTTCGGCTAGTTGGACCTGGACTGGGCCGACGGCCGACCCATCCTGCCGAAGGAAAAAAGGTCTTGCAGTCATGCCAATGCTCCAACGTTCTCCAGTCCCCGTCTTCTCTTAATCACACCAGTTCTAGTAACAAAAGGCGTTGCCATCTCCTTGTTCAATTCCCTAAGTAATCTAATTGGAGTTCCTCGGGCATTATGATTTCTAAGAACAGAAAAATGCAGCAACATGGCACTGAAAAACAAAAGTATATAATATATTCAGCTTAACTCATTATCCTGTGAAAAAGTTGTACGGTTGTCCATTGCCATCAAACTTACATACTGCACAGAATCTTGATTTTGAGGCTATGATGTATGTTTCGACCAACTAGAACTGGTATATATTAATGTCCTCGATGATGGAAAATAGCTTTCCAGGGAACAGGTGCAATCTTTTCTCATACACTATTTTCTTTAGTATTCTGGTTTTCATCTTGAGGGACGCTAGCAGCAGAGCTCACTTCTAGGTTGTTTAGATCATGTACATCAGAAGAAGCTTCAGTAGTTTTCATTCTCTTGTTGCAATGATCATTTGGAGCGGTATCGGCTTCGGTAGTTGTCACTTCTTTACTAATTTGATTATCATTTTGAGGAATGCGAGCTTCAGCACTGGCCACAGCTGGTGAAGGATCCACCAGGCTAGCTGCTATTGCCGCCTTCAAATCCTCATCTTCCGTGTCTGAAAACATTTCTGCCTTTCCGAATGAAAGGAATTGATCAGGATGGTGTTGGGACTCGTTAATTCTTTGGCGAGGAGCCTGTATCGAGTTGCAGGATTTATTTATCCTTTCAGCATCTTCAGGTGACAGCCACTGTCCAAAACCATTTGAAGCTTCAGATGAGGATATTGGAAATTCTTTCGGGAAGTTTCCTCTCACCAGGAATATGCTCCATCCAAAGCCTTTCAAGGAGTCAAGATAGGCTGAGAGGTAGAACTTAGACAGGTGCTGTGGCGCTGCATAGAGACTGTCAAAATTATACCATTCTCCATTCACTTTGCGTATACAAAACCAATGGTTTTGCAAATGACAAATAAAAGCATTTTCCAGTCCAGGATCAATCTGAGCAGGCTCAGCAACTGGAGAGTCCAGGGGGATGACTTGCAGATCCCAAACTTCCAAAGCTTTCTGCAAAACCTACAGGAAAGACCTTGCATCATTAAGTAAACCATAAAAAGGCACGGCAAAAAGTGACATTAAATTATATAATTGAAGGGAACAAATATTTCATCTAACAAAATTCTAATACTTTCAACATCTTACAATATAATAATAACAATAATAATAACGATTAATTGATGACATCATATATAGAATTGAAGGGAACAAACATTTCCTCTGACAAAATTCAAATATTTTCAACATCTTACGAAAAAATAAATCAAGGATTAATTGATGGCATCATATAAACTTGATCTGGCTTCAACAGACAAGAGCCTACAAGACATTTAATGGAAATCCATAGATTAACTTATGCGCATATATTAATTAAACAATTATAAGAGAAGGACTGCAATCGGGCTGGGCATCAAATCAGTAACCATTCTCATTTAACATATATCTGCAACTCAGTTCAATCGACCTAACATGGCTTCAGCATGTTAAATTTCAGGTTTCGCCAATCATGCTAGTATAAAAGGCTTATTATATGAGCATTACAACTATATAAAATCCAATCAACTTATGGGACAAGTTAAGCGTTGTGTATATATCTTTTTCTAAACAGAAACATAGCAGTTATTTCTAATTTGGTGAACTTCCTCTTCCTATCTTAATATATTACAAATATCAGCGGATGCATGCATATCAATTTGCTCACTATTTTTTGCATTGTACCTACAAGGTTTATGAAATCATCAGCATAGATAAAGTATAAATGTACATTTATAAACAGACAATTAACTTTTTTTTTAATGGATATGGAGAATAACGAAAGAGTTTGGTATGACGGAAGAGTTTTTAATGGAATCAGAATCAGAATCAGAATCGAAATCGGAATCAGAATAGAATTGAGTTTTAAAAGTGTGTTTGGTATGAAGATGGAATTCTAATATAATATTAATTTATATATGTACTTCAAATAGGAAAATACTAAATTGCCCTTTTTTTTAAAATTAAAAAGACCTATCTTGTTATAAATGGACAAAAAAGATGAGGATAGTGGGGTCCACAAATTGAATTTAAGGGAATTGAAGCAATTCCATAATCAATATGATAGAATTGGATTCTAGCATTTTTGGTGGAATTAGGATTCTTAGGAAGCAACTCTTGCATACCAATCATGCTTAAATTAGAATTCCATCTTTGATTCCATTTTCACATTGCCAATTCAATGCTACCAAACATGGCCAAGTCAATTACAAAGGCAACAAAAACAGTAAAAAGGATCTCTCATCAACTACCACCACTAGATTAACTTGTTATCTCCCAAAGGTTTATTAGTCATTATATTAGAGAGAACAAAAGAAACATAAATCAGGGAACTAACTGAATAGTATCATTCTAAATTTGTAGAACATCTTAACTTGCATACAGAAATAAATAATAACCTTTTGCTACTTTGGTACTTCCTATGGGTTTGTCACAGTGAAAAAGAAGATTGAATCGGAGAATTAATTAACAGCAACATAATTAAGGATAAAAAAATAATAATAATGTATTACAATATTTTAGCAGAAAGATAAGAGGACCAAGTTGTCATAACTCATAAAAATGGCCAGCCCTAACAATTGGTGTTTTAATTCCCACATGCATAAATCTTAAACTTCTTGCTCAGCTTACCCATTAAAGTGCCAAAAATAAAGCTCAAAACTTTTACCACACAAGTTGACTTAGTCCTCAAGCTCCTGTTTGTATGATCATTAAATGAAGAAACATTTAGCCTAATGAAGTATTAAATAGCTAATAGAATTTCATATGTCAAATATTCCCCTCAAGACCATCTTGCATATGATTATTAGACATGAGAATATAAAATTATCATCCAAAAGGCTCCAGCAACCAAAAGTTTCACGAAATAAACAGGGATATGATATAGTACTATTCCAGTTTGTCATATATCATAGAACATTATCTATTTAAGATCTGTTATACAACATAATATTCCTTACTTCTATAGCCCCAGGGGGGGTGGGGAAACCATATCTCATGCCCGTACCATGCCCATGCAACCTAAGCATCAAAAGGATCTAGGAATGCAAAATATAACCATGTTGATGCTGCTAGTTCACTTGTAAGCTGAAAAGGGCTCATACCAAAGTGTTCAAAACTCTTGCTCAACAAGGCATGACCATCATAATACATTTTTATCTACACCAATCAGTTAAATGTATTGACTATCGAAATGCATTGAGCAACGCCCAAAAGTTTGCTCCAGGCAACAAAGAAAATTGAGAAAGGGATAAATAAACAAGAAAAAACCTCTGAATAAGATTGTAATTTAAACCTAGGTGCACCGAATTTCTTACTCATTCAGTTCCAAATGAATGAAATTCCTCCGGGTGAAACAAAGAAAGCAGTTATCAACTTATTATGCAATAAGGAATGCTCATTGATCATTCAAATAGACCATTAACCTATAGTTCTACGTCCACGGTCATTCATCAACTAAAGCACGACATACGCATGTAAATTCAAACAAGCTCAACCAACAATTAGTGCGCAATGATATATTATTCAGTCAAAACAAAAGAGACTTGCTACTTCCACTGGAACTGTTTGCTCAACAGATATTAATAAAGAGCCCTTTCTGAGACTTTCCTAACAGCTTAAGATTTTCAATGAGTTGGAACTCGACAATTATACAATGCTTCCAGGAATCAGCATTTTAGTACGCAACAAACAACGATAAGTTGACCAAAGTGTTTCATGCTGTAATCATTTATATTCTGAGAAAGAGGTGAAAGGGGAAGAGAAAAGAATACACTTTGAAACTAAAAACTACAGAACAGAGGAAATTGAAGAAACCTGTATGCTAAAATCGCCATCCAAAGACACGTTGTGGGACTCCTCGGTGAGAAAATCGCCAGAGCAGACACCACCCTGGAGCATCATCTGACGCTCTTTGCGATCGAGATCGGATGCCAGAGCCGCCAAATCGAATTCAGAGAAGAATGGTCCCTGAAGCACTGTGTTGACGCAATGCATAGCGCAGAGCTTTGACTCTTGTACCTCATGGTACAACATTCCGCCATTGCTGGCCCCTTCCATAATTTACAACCTCTACCTCCGATTCGCGGAGAATGTAAATGACGCTAAAAGAATAAATTATAAAACCCTAGAATTTATATAGAGGATGCTTTTGTTGGAGTGATTTGGGTAAGAAGACGAGGAGGAAGAAATAGAGGAGTTAAAAGAAATGAACTGAAAAGTGAAAATATCGGGTTGCAGCTTCGGTTTCGGTTTCATTTTGCGGAGTTTTTCAGTCTTCACGCGTGGACGTTATCAGATGGGAGCGCGTGCCACTGCCACGTATTCTCAGAAGCGGTCGTGGATTTCGAGATTTAGATTTGGATTGGAAGCCCAAAACGATGCCACAATGACAGATTTGGGGGAATGACAATAAAGGTTTCTTTTTATTTTTTTTAATGAAGTCCCTCACAAACAATCGCATTAGAAAAATTTTACAGCATGTTATAACAAAAATAAAAAGAAAATTACAGCATTTAAGTCTTAAAGGACTTTAATGAAATTAAAATTAAAATTAATTTATCTAAATGCTCTTCCTCTTCAAAAAAAAAAAAATCCTCCGCAACGCTCATTAATGTCAAAGCCATTGTTATAGTGCAAAACGGAAATGAAACAAAAGGTTTCAAGTCTTTTTCAACTCCTGTTTTTTTAATTCCTATCAGACCTTCGTTGTAGTTGGCTTATGAGACTCGTGAGAATTACTTGCTTACTAACAGGATTAAGTTGGCTTATTATAATATATTTTATTATACATGATATATAGTAGTTTAAAACAATCATTTTATTATTCGTTTATACTAGAGGTAATGTAATTATTTAACTAGTTTTCTTTTCCCATCATCTCATTTTCGATCAACTAAAAATAAATTTCCTTGACAAATCATCATCCTTTTATCAAGTATCAAGTTTCATACTTTTACTTTCCAGTCAAGTCATTTCCCTCTAATATCCCACATTTACATTTTATGCCAAAGCCATCCATAGAGTTAAGAGAGAAACAAAAAGAAAAGGAAACTGGTGGGCAATGAGGAAACTGAGTCACATAAAACATAGTCAAATTTCTTTCTAAGTCAAATTTCTTTCTATAATACCTCACAGCTTGGTTGGGTTAGGTTTGATGTTGATGCTTCAGTTAAGAGATGAAGCCACTTGTGGAGGTTTAATATGAGATGATAACAAAATTGATTAAGGGTTTCCACAGTAAAATTAACCACTTATCATCACATCAACTGAGCCCATGAGTCTTTCAAATGGTCTAAAGCTTTTGTTGGATCCCATACTACCCAAAAAAAAAACAGAGAGAGTTCATTTTTATATCAATTCCAATGAAACAGTGATGCTCATCCGGAACATTTCTCCTGGTTATCATCTGATGGCCGATTCCATCAAAGAAATTAGATATTTTCCTGTGCAAGATTGGAATGTATCACCTAACTACATGCCTAGAAGAGCCCATTCTTGTGTTGATTGCACGGCACATAGGCCCACCACACAGACATTAATTTTATGATCATAGACAAAGCCACCGGCACCCCTAGACTGTAATTAATTATCTTTTGCTTTATGATTTGAGTAATGAGCTACGTGCTCGTCGGTAACCCCTCTTTTTGTACGGATAAATTCCATACCCGTTGTACTAAAAAAATATATTTCTATAATGGCTCTAGATTTAAACCATTTATTTGAAATACCAAGTATGCCTACAATTAAACTTAACTACAACTTATATTTGTCATTGGATTCTTCAATTAAAACATGATAAATATTTAGCTTGTTTTAGTAGTATGATAAGTACAATTGTTTATAGTTATCTGAGATCCATACTTGTGTTTAATCGGAAGACATCATGAATGAAGAACACTAGTTAAGGTCAGAGAAGAGTCAAGGGCAAAGGGAACAAGAATATGACAATTCAAAGTGTTTCTATTACTGTTAAGGTCGAAGCCATTTGAAATCCTACGTTACAATATTAGAAAAGAAATAGTTCAAAATAAAATCTGACTCATGCACCCATTCCTTAACAGAGGAGATCATAGTGGTTCTTACCACTGTATAAGAGCCTCACAACTTTCTTTGGTTTCGAGTTCCTTGATTTCTTCTTAAACTCGCTCCCATACTCTGCAATGGGAATGAAACCAGATCCCAATCCACTCCCTCTATGCTGCATTTGATTTATAAGAAATGATATGTAAGTAGACAAAATCTTAAGCCTACCAAACCAAAAATACTTGTTCCAAAATGCAGGAATTGTGGGTCTCTTGTAATTCGTTGAAGACTGATGGCAGTCACCTTGTCTCTAGTCTTTATTTACAGATTTATACTATTACTGAAGATACTGATAAACACAGAAAACAGTAGCATAAACTATCGGACAAACCATATATCATAATATAGATAAATGAAAAGGACCATTGACCTAAAAGATAACAATAGGACACTATTTCTGGCTTTTATAACCTGTTTTTTTACTGTAAATTGCTTCAGTCATCACTCTAGTTTTACCAGCAAAATATAATGGTCCTTGCTTGACTGTTTGAATGTATTCTTGAAACTCTGAATTTTAATACTAGTCTAGGTTATAGGTTGCTTTTGCCAATATTTCTCCAATTAAATTTGATTTTTACCTTAGTTGAAAATAAGCCCTGGAGTGAATGAGAATTTGAAAGCCCGAAGGTTCATCATCACTCAACTTTCCATTAAATGACGGAACAGTCCCAGTTAATATGTGTCAGAAACACATTATAAACACATAAATGGTTGGTATGATGATGTCATTAAGTCATAAGTTATAATCCAGTCATACATCAGTACAAACCATATTGATATTATTACATAAGCTGGCCATGGGGTAGTATCACTCTCATTAGAAATGCCTCAGATTCCAATTAGCTTAGCTATTCATTCTGAGGTCGACAGTTTTCCAGCATGTTTATCTATTCATTCTTTGTACCCACAAAATGAAGATTTGATCCAATTAATCCCTCATTTCCTATGAGTGGATCTTGGCATTGCAGAAGTGATTAGCACGCCTTCATTTATCTGAGATGCAGTATTGTTCTTACACTCTCTTACAGGGAGGACAACAGGGTGGCAGACTACCTTGCAAAGCTTGGTCATAGTCTCCAAATGGTTTATCTCTTTTTGCTGCTCCACCCAATTCTTAATTTGGTGTGGTTTTAATTTCTTTTAGGTTCTTTTGAGTTTTTTGCTCTCCGTTTCCTTGGTACTGTTGTATTTTGTTTTTTCGCTTTGTTGAATGAAGCTCCCAGTATTATTCAAAAAAGTATTGTTCTTACACGGGTAACGGAAGTTACAGAACAAGAGTAAGGTGGCTAAGAAAAGTCCAGCGTGACTGAAAAAATGTGGAGAGGCAAGGTACATGCTAATTACAAGTTCTTCTTTCTCAGCTATAAAGAGATAACAATTGACTTACTTAGATCCTGAAAGTTATTTAAGACATACCTCATGCTCTGGTATGTAAACAATAATTGGCTGCTCACACAGCTTTGAGAGAACCTACCAGAATACGTACATAACATCAGTCAGTATCTGAATTTTAAATTAAGGAGTCAGTGCAATTAGGCAGTCAACATCTAAAAATGTGATGGTAAACTGTTTTTAGGTCCAGACAAAATTTTAATAACAAGTTCCCACCACAAAAACGACAACAAGCCTTATCCCACTAAACGATACCATCATACTCTATTATCAACCAAGCTTTGATGAATATTGTTAACTGGGAAGTCTCGTTCAACAATTTCCACAAGTGTTCCAAGCTTTGATGAATATTGTTCTTTTTGGCTTTCCTCTACCCCTCTTTACAAGATTGTAAGATTCAACGAAGTTTTATGTTGATTTTTGAAGGCCTAATACAACCCTCTTTCAACTAAATAAAGTAAAATAATATAACTTTCCTCAAATGTCTGACATTAACACAGTAAAATATGCATTTAAAATAATACTACTTTGGTTATTAAAATAGTGAAATATGCATTTAATTGTCTACCAAAGTATAAGATGTATCTAATGTTGAAATCATTAAAGTGAGGGTTTGGCCGGGGGGGGGGGGAGGGAAGCTTCCAAGATATACAGAATAACCATAAAAACTAACCAGAAGCTCTGATTCTCCTCCCCAGAAATCAGGCCGCAAAATGCGTTGGCAGTAACTACAGAATAACAAAGTCAATTGTGTTGAGTACTTCTGCCACCAAGCGCACACAAGGAAAAATTTCATGATCTTCATTTCTGTTTTTTCTTGTCTTCTCGGTTAATGCTTTGAGAAGTTTCCAAAGAAAAAAATATTAAGCATACCGCTTTAGAGACTCATCAACTGTAATGGCAACCAGGGCATCTTCATATAAATTGCGTTCTCCTTTATTTTCACAGATAACTTCTCTCACAGCCAGTCTTAATTCATCTGTGCTATCACCAGCCAGGAGAGAGATTGGCCAAAGACCATAAGAAGGAAGAGAACAGAAGATGAGCAGATCAGGTTAATATCATGATTGTCTTAAAGTTAACCTTATGAACCAAAAAATAATTGGAGCTATTTCATGAAAATTCTGCTTTGAAATGGGCAAAAAGATCAATAAATTTTCCCCCTCTGCATGTCATTCAGTCTCTATCAGCATACCTGCATTTTCTCTCTCCTCACGTGGGCTAAGAGCAATTCCCTTGTTGCAAGCCATTCCTTTGACCTAAGTAACAGAAATTTAGGCCAAAAGATTGTATAAGTGTTGAGATCCAACTGAACTTACTTTCTATGATATAATGTCGTCAAATTTGCAAATACTTCAGGTAAAACAGAATGCCTCTGAGAGAATCCACATGATGGGATGCATTGATCCAAATTAAAAAAAAAAAAAAAAAGAGTATACAACTAAACTTAAAAATCAAAGGACTTGGAAACTTAACATATCAACAAGGATGCTAGAAAATGGGCTATGGTAATTTACTTGCTAGAGAAAATAAAGACCAACAAGGTAACAGATTATGATTTACAGCCTAATGTTCAACATTCAACTTTGAATTTTGATGGACTATTTGTCCAAGTCTGGTGCAATCATGTGTAATGACTAATGAGATGCACAATAGTGTAACAGAATACAAAAGTCAACCAGTTAACAACGTCAATATTAAAAGAAATTTGAACGATAGAAATTTAAAATGTCTGGAACAAGAGGGAAAGTATTCAGTTTCCAGTCTTGTTCAAAAGAAATAACAACCAGCAGCCCCGATATGAATGGATCTGGTACTATTATCCAAGTTAATTTGCATTCCATTTACTACCTGTCTTTGCAATTTTTCAATCATGACTGCCAAGAAGTCAGAATATTAAAGTTTGTACACTTCTCAGCTTGACCCCAACTTATTGAGCTCATATGCCCAACTCCATATCTGACAGGTTAAGAGCTGAGTTTCTTCGATAAAGTTTTTTTTTCCCGTTTTCCTGTTAGGATTTACAACTCACAAGCATTGGTAGAAATCTCTAAATGCAACTTGACAGTGAGCTGCCTAGCTAGTCAGTTGTCATTTTTACTTCAGATTTTGGCCTAAGGAACAAGGATAGGCCCATATATCTCATTATACAAGAAATTTGAAATGTCATGGGCAAGTAATAAAGTAACATCAAATTTATAGTCCATTAAAATATTTGAAGGTCAAGAGATCAATAAAGGCTAAATAATAAAAAGAAAATGTCAAATCCAATCAGTATAACTATAAACATTCCATTTACAAGAAACCACAGAGGAAATTAAATAATAAGAAATAAAGATGATACCAGTGCACGAAATAGACACCGTCCATCCCCAGTAACCTTCACGACTGAGAAACGATCAACCTTCTTCATAGCAGGTGATAGTCCACCACTGTAAACAAATATCGAGAAGAATGCAGACTAATCAAAATTGCAGTATGCAAGCCTTATATTTAGGGGCATATAAGAGAAGAAACATCTGGGTCTTCAAAATCCAGAAAACGATGTTATCAACGAAACTGTAATCCATTTTTGAAACCCAATAAATCCAGACAAAGAAAACGCAGGCAAGAAAGAAACTTTGAATAAAGAAAAGGATCACTTACAGCGATGAGCCAATCCTTGCAAAGAACCGACTACTATTGTCTGCAAAGAAACTTGTCTTCCAGCCAGGAGCAATGGCTGAAATTGAAGGAAGTGGAAAAGAAACAAGCTCAAATTTAGCAGTCCCATTTCTCAGCTGCTCAAGAATAGCCTCTGTGGATGTCAAACAAAATAATGGACAATTGAAGTGCATTAGTAAGTAATAGCAGCGATTATGAGTTGCAGTTACTCCCAGCAAAAAATATAAAATATCGAAGAGATTTTTTAGATTACCATTCGAAAGCTTGTCGGCCATGAAGAGACTTTGCATAAGGACGAGACAACAGCTACGCAAGCAACAGCCAAAGGAAAGACTAAAGAGGGTGACGGGGAGAAAAATGGGCAGGTAACGAGAGTGCGAACTGAGGACTCCCTGATTACGAATTTTGAAGGCCACTTGTGAATAAAAAGATTCAGGGAAACATACAGGTGCAACAGCACCTCAGATCTGCCAAAGACCCATTTACCATGTTTGTCACACCAAAAAAAAAAAAAAAAGACCCATTTACCATGGTTAACTAGCTACAACCAGTGCCTTCTACAGGTTGACCAATTTAAAAAACTACAAATTAAGTAATAATAGTATAATTCATATAATTATAAGTATAACATGCAAGATGTGATTAAGAAAGAGATGAAGCATTACTTAACAAAAATTATTGTATTTGGCAAAAAAAATTACCAAGGACGCCATTCTTTATTCTATAGTGAACTCAAAAACAACATTCACAAAACAATCATACATTTATAACTTGAAGGTTTGAAAAAGACTTGAAGATTGGAGGATTTGAAAGATTTCTACATGCATTATATTAATAATACTTAACATCTAAATCAGCACAATTTTCACTTTTTTCAAAAAAAAATGAACTTAACCCCCTTTGAATTTGCAACTAACTCCATAAAAAATTAATGTCTATGTGGGCATTAAAGATAAGCTTACACCCATGTATGGTTACCTTTATTGATTTGCAAGGATTCATGTTCTTTCATGCTAGTAAGTTTGCGACCCATAAATCTATATAACCAAGGCTTTAAAGCAAGGTTATTAGGCCCAGATAGACCATTAAACTAATTAAGGTACTAATTCATGATTCAATAGTCTGACTTGGGTCGAACCGTTTATAAATAAAGTAATATAATTAATATATTTTAAATATTATATACTAAAAATTATAATTAATATTATCTTAAAAAAGAAAAATATAATATAAAAATATATATTATATAGTGGTAGGGCTGTGGGAGTGAAAAAACAAGAGGGAGAGCATATATTTATCATAAATAATTTATGTGAGGAGAGTTGGTGATAGAAATCAGGACATATTGGTCAAAAACAATAGGAATCCGGACAAAAGAAAAAGAGAGGGAGGTGACAGGGCATGGCAAGTTTGCAACAGAGGAGAGAGAATAGAGACAGCAAATGAAATGCTCTCGTTCCAGTTCTTCCTTTGCTATTTGCAAGCTCCTCAAGCCTTCACTGCACTCAGACTTGCATCTTCGGAGCCATGCACTCATACAAAGCTCAGATGGGATGAATGAGCATAAGACAAGCACTCATCTAGAGATGATAGATGTGTGACGATGAGAGGCTGAGACAAGTACTCAAGTAGAGATGATGAGCTGGACTGGGTTACCAGCAGTTCCCCTCCCTCAATTTTGCCTTATTTCAAGACCGACTACCTGGCCGATTCCCAATTGAACCAATCAGTCCAGTCTAGTTTTGATAACCTTGCTACAAAGTACGCATGCCATCATATTACAAAGCCATATCAGCTCCCTGTTTCCCTTTTGTGATGACACATAGATGTAAGCTCATTATTTTTTACAATAATATCTGATTATATCTTTCAAAATATAATCTTCAATCACCCCATTAATTTGTCCTCTATTTATTACTCCTTCAATCTCTTTTTAATGATCTCCTTCAATTTGGAAGGTTTCAAAAATAATCAACTCGACATAATGCATGCATCAATTGATTTTAAGCCACATCAATATTTTTTAGTCAAATTTTAATAAGATCGATTGCCAATTTAAATCTTATTTTGTGAATTTAATGCAAATATCCTATGTCAATTGAATTTAATACAAAACTTGGCCTACGTCTAGTCCTCAAGATTATCCTTGAGATTTTCAACTATTAACACAAGCTTAAGTGGGTGCTTGTAACTTCATATAACTCATAAGACTTGACTAGTCTTATTTTAATTAATCAATCTTGCTACAACCAGCAAGTTTTTACAACTCACTTGAAAAATCTCTTTTCAAGATTTCAAACTTTGTTTCAAAAAAAAATTCTCACAAAGATAAACTCTCCATAAAAGAGTAGATAGAATATAATAGAAGCTTAAAAACTAATAAAAGCTTTTTCACAAAGTTTATGAAGAATAATAAGTGAATGAATGCAAAATCTTTTGATGCATAAATTGAATGATTTTAAGAATGTTCAAATATGGAATAGTTTACACAATGATCAAAATTCTTGCTCTAGACTTGAATTGTATCATATATATTGTTTTGCAATGTTCAGACTATTAAAATAGTAAATGTAGCTATTAGTGACATTTCTTATGTGCAACTAAGAGATTCAAGCGTGAAATGGAGGTAGGCAAGTTCCAGTTAAACATATATGACAATTTAAGCATGAACTCTAGGGTGACTCACACATGTTTTGTAAAGTAAAAGGATGTATATCATTATATATGACAAAACAGGCATGGTTTCCTCTAACTCTCACACGTGAATTGACTAGCAAAATGTCAAAGCCAATCTGGGTGACAGATCATGTGTAGAACAAACCAACTATCATAGGTGAAATGGCTAGTTATAAAACCCAAGCCATTTTAGAGGACAAATCACACGTGGAATACTTTACCTCTCACGCTTAAAATGGTTAGTTACAAAATTAAGCCATTTTGCAAACAGATCACACACGAAACTAATAAGTATTCAAGCATGGATTGCATGATCAAAAGACTCAGTTTCTATAAGTGATAAATCACGCAAGTGCACAAAGCGAAACTAGCTTAAATTGGCTTAAGGCTCACTTAGGCTAAATGTGTTCAAAAGAACAAGTGACAAAACAGGTGTGAAAGCTTTCTCTTTCAAGCTTGAAATGTCATTACTCAAAATGCAATGTAATACATTGTGACAATTCAAGTGTGCGTACAAAGATGTTTTTAGGTGTGAATTGGAGCATAGAAGCTTTATCAAGGTATCACTCAAATAAAGGCGACAAATCACGCATGGACCACTTCTAATTCAAGCATAAAACATTAGCCAGTATGCCTATAGTGACAAATCAGGTGGGGAACCATTTGGTTCAGGCTTGAAATGTTATGTAGTGAAAACTTCAAATTTTATGATCCAATTCAAGCGTGAATAACATTACTTTCAAACTTGAATTGACTAAAAAAAGTCCTAAGATGCACAATTAAGACTTATAAGCTTAAGATAATGCATTCATTTAAAATTTGATAATATATGATTAAGCTCTCATAGTTTTCACATTGAATATAAGAAAAATAAATGGCTTAAACCTATAAATCTTCTTCTTCTTCTCTTGATTCTTCAAGTTCTTGGAGGTTTTATTTCATCAATGGATTTTTTAAATCTACACAAGTAACACACACTTGTTCTCTTGATTTTGTAATAATCAAAAACATATAATTTAATAATGTCTCCTCTATCAAGTATTATCTGATCAATAATGCAAAGAAACACGGTAAGACAAATACAATGATCATATTTTAATATGCATGAGCACAAGGATCTATGGATGTGAGGTAAATTTGGTTTGATGAATGTGTAGGATTTAAGAAGTCACTTGTGGCATGCTATAGATATGAATAGATATGAAGGAAAGTACAACTACGGCGAAGTTAGGTGTGGAAGCACAATGACTATGAATGGTACCAACATTTTTATGGGATCACCTAAGGGGGTTGAAAAGGTGATTTGATGAAACAATAAAAATTAAAGATAATTTGTAAAACATTAACAATCTTCATATCTCTTGATCTCTACTTATATATATAAGGGAAAGGAATGACAGAGAAGAGGAAAGGAGGTGGTCTCTACTAGGGCTATAAGGTTTTAAAGTACTGGGAGTTAGTTCTGACTTGTTGCTCACCAATTAAATTTCATACCGCTTTATGTTCTTATACTACTATGATTTCTCATGGATTGGGATATAGGTAATTTGAATTAGAGAGTTTTAAGAGTTATTATCTGGCTATATAGTTGTAAAAGGCTATTGGATGTTAATTTAAGATTTTTCAATTGTGTTAGAGATTTACAGTTGAGTTTGAGAGCTGTATGCTCAATTTAACCCAGTTTAAGAAGTTTCAAAAGGGTAAGAGTGCTTGCATGGTTTATTAAGGGGTGATTTGGCCATTTCAATAGCCTAAGAGTGTGTAATTATGGTGAATGGGTTTAAGTGAGCCCAAAAGTGTAAATGAGATGGTTGTAAGTGCTAAGTAATGTGATTTAACCAACATAGTATTTTACATTGAGTTTGGAAGCTAATTAAGGAAACTTGTCTATGTAGATTAAGTAATTTGAAATTGCTCGTGAAAATCTATAAGCCTTAAGTGCTTTAGTGCAAACGATAAACCTGGATAAAAGGGATGTGAGGTACTAGATAAACTTTTCTACCTAGGTTAGTTATTTACAAGCTAATCGTGAAAATTATTTATATAATTCTATAGTTCTATTTATTTTATGATTTTTAAGACTGATAGAATAGCTTTAGAAGCATAGGCATACGTGCTTTAATACTGCTTGCTTGATATTACATATGTAATAAGAGTGATGTGTGTGGTGTATGTGAAAAGTAATGTACGAGATTATTATGTAAAAGTGATGCATAGGATGCATGTGTAATGTTGCAAATGTATGTGCAACTAAAAGTGATATATACCTTAGTCTAAGGTAGAGGTATATGGCCCTGCTTTATGTAAAGCTAAGAAGTCTAGTTTAAAGCATTGGCTATGATCCTTCATATGGACTTAAGAGCACATGATCATTCATATATAGCTAGAATTGGGAGTTCACCTTGTAGAGTTATGCATACTATGGTCTTGGCATGTGTGTGACACCTACTGCCCTTGTGAATTACCACAGCCGACAGACATAGTTGATCTACTCCTTACTACTCTGGGAATAGTTGGTAAAGGGAGTATTTGATGTCCTACCGATTATTTAAGGGAAATCTATAGTTCATAAGTGATAAAGAGATACTAGCCCTATCTCTTTCACTGATGGAGAGCTTAGACCAACCAAAAAGGTCCTATATATAGCTTATAGGTTCAATTGAGAGATTGGGAGGTTTAGGAAAAATACTGGTGTAACATGCTTGTGCATTGATATTTGTGTCTTACATCATGATAATGATTGTACTCATGCTTGTTCATGATTTG